ACAGAGTCTTTTCTTGCAAGGAAAAGAATGATATTAGTTTTTCAAATAACACATTTTAAAGAAGCTAATTCTGTGCCGTCAAGTCTATAAAAAAAAATCAGCTGATATTTTTTTATCTCTGCGTCATTTTCTTTCTTGCAACCTAATTTTTACCTCTTTTTCAGAAAAATATCTTAAATATATTAGTTTTTAGAAGTCATTTGATGTTGAGCTCGAAGAGAAAAGCATCTTTTTGGTTTGTTTTTTAAACAAAATAATCTATATGATAAAATCGCACTATTATGCATGTGTATGAACTTTTAGATAAGAATATTCGTTAGTCTATTCATTCTTCTTGTTTTTGAATGTGCAAAAATTGTTCAATGTTATCCATACGGTACACCATCCAGCACTTGTGACTCAATGAATGTGATCGAAGCAGCCAAGTATCAATACAATAGCGATGATAATATTCAAAGTGAGTGATTCAATCGATGTTTGTCTCTCCGAGACACTTGTTTTTTTTTTCGGCTACTGTTCGGAATGCAACCAGTTCCGATCGTTTCAATGGTATTCTTTTGGTTGCTAAAGATCAAAGTAGTCAAAACGTTTTGGACAGTTGGTCATCGATTGATTCATCGGTTTATGTTGTTTATTGCGATGATTCATCCTCAAATGGGATTACACAAGCATCCTAAACTACTAAATCTCAAATTCAACCGGCTTGGACTTCTCCATGCACGACAGTTCAAGAAAATATTACTATTAGGTAAGTCTCTTTGTCTGTCTCTACGATCAACATCCATCAACAAAATCGAAGTAAATAACAGGTAAGATTTTTTTTTCTGATAACTCCAAAGCAGATGGAGTTTCATAACAAGAACACTTAATATCATTATCATTTACAATCTCTTATCACACTATGTTAAAGATAAGTCATACATAAAATTACTGAAGAGTATGTAGGGCTTCTCTTGAGTCATGCTTTGACGATTTCATCGAAGATCCTGCATCCAGTGATTAGAAAAGACAGCTTTAAATGAAATTATTCATTTGTCTCTGATTTCAAATGGTTTTTAATCCTGTTTAACTTTGCTGCCATCATTTTGGGTGAAGCAGGATCGCTTATCACCAACGATAAGAAATTTCATTTTGATATCCAGTTTGATGCTCGTTAAATTGAGCATTACTATCGAATTTCTCGTTATTAATGATAATTGATTGAGTTTTATTCAAATCAATGAAAAAGAAATTAAAAGCAATTAAGAATCATCTAGATCGATGGCAAAATAACTAAATCAGTTATGTTCATATTTTCGAATTATTGAAAACGCAAGCTTTGCTATAATCATTGAATAAGTTAAGTTTTCATCAGTCTCAGTGAAACCTTTCACAAAATTAGTCATTTAGCTCATGTTGTACCATTGAGAACGGTATATTGTATTGGTGAATCTTCGACAGAAGAAAATGTTTCATAACTTTAAATGAATTCTTAGAGCAACTATTGTTCAATCATGCAGCTCGTTCTATGTCAATTGCTTCAGCATTACACTGACTCCTCAAAATGTAGGTCATTCAATTGACTGAAGATTCTCCTTTGGTATTTAATTCACGATGTTTTCTTTAGATTTCTTCAACAACATTACCTGGTGTTTCGCAATCAGCTAGTGTAGGATTCAGATATTATTTTCATGTTTGTTGACCTTTTTGAAATGTGTTTGCTGTTGTCTATCAGACTTCAATACCATCAATGGATACTACTATTACAATCAATTCGCAAGTCACTGGTGCTGCATTGAATCTTAACGGGACATATTTTAACGGAATAATAACCATTTCAATAGTTATCAACAATCTTGCGACGTCCCAATCATAGAATGGTATAGGCCAATTGAACTTTTTATTTTATTCTTTGACCTCTATTTGTGTAGGGTGATGAACATGTATTTGTATGTCAACGCTTGAGTAATGATACAATTCAACTTCAATGTTTCATCAATCCTGGTAGTTATTCGTATCCAGCCATAGTTACTGCTGACTCAAATTATGGTGGTACATTTAAAGTAACGTGGGTAGCTCAAAACAATGGTATGGTCTATTGTGAATTTACTCTATCAAATTTTACTACAACAATGGGTCGACGAAGAAAACGGAGCATTTCTTTACTTTCATAAAGTATACAATATCGTATTCTTGTGGCCACAGGACATCTTGCTGGCTCAAGTATGATGCTTTTTTTCACAAAAATAATACTTCATTTTTTTCTATGCTAACATGATAGATGCACTTGTACAGCATTCCTCGGTAGCTATGCTAACTCAAAAGATTCAACTTGATCAATCCGGAACCATAGCGACGACTAATACTGAAGGATCTGACGATGATGAAGCAATGTTCTTGCGTGCTCATGGTATTATTATGCTATTTGTTTCAACGAGTATTCTCATTGCTCGATATTTCAAGTAGTCTTGGCACACACAAAAACTTTGTGGTAAACCAATGTGGTTTGCTGTTCATTGATCAGTAATGATTTTTGCTACAATAATGACACTAATAGCATTCGCCGCCATTCTTAAGTATAATCAAGGTACACGGGTTTCACAAAATAAGTCGCGTGAATTTGCTCATTCAATCATCGGTATGCTTGTTATTAGTGCTGCTATTATCCAACCAATGATGGCTCTATTTCGATGTCATTCCGATCATCAACATCGGTTTATTTTTAACTATTCACATGCTATAGTCGGCATTGGTGCATTGATTCTCTCGATTGTTGCTATTTTTCTTGCTACTCTGTTTAGTTTATCTGATATTTCAATAAACAAATCTTGGCGAATAGTTGTGGCATGGGGGTCGGCAGAGTTTGCTATATTGATTGGTTTCGAGTGTTTCGAAACTTTCTACCGCAAGAAATGGCCATCGTTTAGCGTTAAAAACCGAAACAAGCCTGTATAAGTGAATGCTCTTGATAACGGTAGTGAGGCAACATCAGTCGACGATCGGCCATCTTCAGAAAATATACTTAAGGAGCGATTAAAAACTCTACTTCTAGTAATTCACATTCTGATTGCATTTGGTCTTTCGCTCACGCTGGCTTACTGTACGTGAAAAGCTTCTTAAGCAAAAATTCAAAAACTTACTCAAAGACTGTCTACATAAACGAAGAATTTTTATGCATAATTCAAATACACTTTCAGTTTGATCATTGCTCTTTTCAACGCGCTTTAATGCTTTATGCTAAACTTAATACTAATAAAAAAAAGAACTTAATTTTATGAGCATTATCAAGTGTATATTTCTGATGTCGATGTTGTCACTACTGGCAACGAAAAATGTAGACGCCTGTATATGAAGATGAAAGTGTGATTTTGGACACTGCTGTAATCGACAGTCAGTTCTTCTTCTTGTCTATTATGCCTTTCATCTTCTATTGTTTTACTCAAGATATCGACATTAAGATATAGAAATGTTGAATGAGGCTACAGGGCCTCATATTTTTATATAGAGATAAGAGTAAAACGAAGAAAAAGAGCAAAGTAAATAATGACTTTTACCTTTTTCATCACTAAGATCCGTACGTTTTGTCATAATTTTTGATACAAAAAAAATATTAGATCATGCAAGACGTTGAAAAAATATCAGAAATGTCTCTGGCACAACCGAGGCGAGCTCTATTGAACGTGAAAGATTATCATCAACAAGCGAAAAGAACATTACCACAAATGATCTATGATTTTTATAGTACTGGTTCAGATGATCAGTTAACATTAATTGATAATCAACAAGCTTTTCGTCGAATAAAATGACGTCCAAAAATACTTATTGATGTATCATCTCATTCATCAGTCAATCCAGTCAGTTGTCAAACACAACTTTTAAATTCTACGATAACAATTTCATTTCCATGCATTATTGCTCCAACAGCTTTACATCGACTAGCCAATAATGAACATGGAGAATTAGCAACTGTTCGTGCAGCTGTTGCTTGCTCGACAATAATGTGTGTCAGTACTATGGCGTCAATATGCATGGAACGGGTTGCCGAAGAACATCGGGAGCAAATTAGAGCAAATTATCCTCGAAGTACTTCACAGCTTTGGTACCAGCTATATGTATTCAAAAATCGTCAATATACATAGAGGCTAATCGAACATGCGGAAAGATGTGGCTATAAAGCGTGAGGGTGTGGGTGTGGGTGTGGGGTGTGGGTGTGGGTGTGGGTGAGGGTGTGGGTGTTGGCCTTGCTTTCGTTCACAATTACACCCACACCCACACCGTGCGAAAACCTCAAAAGGGTCTGGTGTGGGTGTGTGGGTGTGGGTGTGAGTGTGGGTGTGGTTGTGGGTGGGTATGAGTGTGGGTGTGGGTGTGGGCGTGCGTGCGGGTATGTGTGTGAGTATGAGTGTAATTGTGAACGAAAGCAAGGCCAACACCCACACCCTCACCTACACACACACCCACACACCCACACCAGACCCTTTTGAGGTTTTCGCAGTTTTGCCAAGAGAGATTTACTTTTACCAATAATAGGGCGCCGTGACTCGCAAGACAATTTGAACAGTTCGCTTGTAAGATTATTCTCATAATGAATCGAGTTCTCAATAAAAAAAATTAAAGACGTAGAGTAAGTAAAACTTAACAATGAGAAATTCATAGATAATGAGAAACGAAAAAAATATTTTTCACCTAAGTTTTACCGGTTTTTAGTTCTTATTATTGTAACATTTTGCTCTTTCGAGTAATTGAGTAAAAACTACATTAACTATGCTTGAGAAACCTTATCAATAGAAGAGCGTTTTCAAAGCGCTCTCTCTCTTTTGTGAGTTCACAATAGAAAGATTTCAACTTCTTCCATATTATCTGCCTGGCGAAACTTTCAGATCTCTGAAAAACGGTTAGCTGCGTCGATTGTTCTACAGATTTGACTGTTGAGAATTTGATTCATTGATAGAACAATATGAGTCTCATTGTTGAGAAAGGTGTTAGACATGCTTTCAAGAATAGTTACACATTCGTTGCATTACATGAGAAGTTTTGAGAGAGAGTACTCATAATTGATCGGTCAACCTCATGATTTTTGTCTCTTTTTACCACTTATTTGTCAATTTTTTTACCGAAAACCAAGTATTGAACTATCGGCGATACGTTTAATATTAAGCAGAGTATTACATTAGACTCCTTCACAAATTTGACCATTAATATCGACATTGAAAATGAATTACTAATACTTTTGTATTGATCTCGGAAAAACAAATTTATTGCTAAGTATATTAGCATAAAACAATAAAAAGTGAGTACCAATGCTTTTATAGATGAGTTCTAATGCCATGTTCGAACAATTGAAATTTTTCCTGTATCCTGAAACATGACCTTAAAATGCTTATGAAAAGTCTTGATAGTAATTTAGTGTTATTCACTGTTTGGTGAGTTTCTCTGTCAAAACGTCGCAGTATAGCGCTGAAAATTTTACCACAGCTTTTCCACTAAAGTCTAAACATATTCTAAAAAGGACGGGGGGGCGATTTCCACAGAAATCGGCCCAATTGAATTTTAATGCTCTGCTCGGGTAGAAACAAAGGAAATGATGGTAGAAAGTATACCTTATGGTTTTCAAATGATTTTTGCTAGGTATTTACAAGTTCAGGATCCGATTACTTCTTCAATTTTCTGTGAATACATAGACGCATCTTTTGGTTGTCAAGTTTTACATATATGTACTTGTTACTTAATTCAAACCAAA